ATGCTGGCCACCCTGGGCCCCATGGTGGGGAGGCTGTAGCTGGGGCCGTGTGTGGCTGTGCAGGGGACAGGGCTCAGGCTCCATTGTGGCACAAGGATGAAGGTGCTCAATGGGCCCAGAGGATGCTGCTGTGTATTTGTGCAGTGAGTGAAACAAAATAACAGTGTAATTTTGTCATCAGTAGCACTTCTCTCCATCCTCCAGGTGCTGTGTGAATGTTAAGAGAGCGTTTAATTCATTATCAGGTGGAGCAGGATTAAAAAGCCCATTTTACAAAGGAAGATACCACTCAAGGAGGTTATTCCCATCAGGGTGACACACTGGGAACAGAACAGATGGATTTTAATGAAAAATGAAGGGCAAAGGTCTGCCAATGATGGACATATATTTTGGTACATGAAAGCTCAGAGCCCAGGTATCAATTAAATCATCAATCCAGCTGAAGGTGGTGATGGCTCCTTGTGACCATCAGTAACCACAGCAGCCAAATTCGTGGCTCTAATGGGCCTTGAGGAAACTCTGCAGGTAATTTTCTCGTTGTTCTGGTGTTCAGCTTCCTCAAACCATGGAATGGTTTGGGTTGGAAGGGACCTTAAAAATTATCCAGTTCCATCCTCCAGTTCTTCCCGCTCTGCCCTGCAGCTCAAACCACTGCCAGCCCAGCCCTGGCCCATCACTCAGGTGATTTCTGGCGGGCTGTGGTGGCAGAGGCACTGTGCAGTGGCAGGGGCACGCTGCAGTCTCTGCGTCACGGAGCCAGGCTCCATCTGAGCAGCTGATCAAAGGCAGCCAGCCCAGCACAGCTCCTGTCAGCAAGGAGCTGTAATGAGCATTTTCACACAGACTGCCTCTGCACAGAGAATCCCAGTGATGGATGTCAGCCTGCTTGCCTGTGTAAATAAACAGGGACAAATTAGAGCCAGGGAGGCAGGAGAGCAAGGGCCATGTGGAGAGAAGGCTCTTGGCTCAAGGCGAGGGGGAACAGAGGGCAGGGAGGCTGTGGCTGGGGGAATTTTTGAGGCTCAGTTGCTCACTGTAGCTGTGGAGGGCTGTGTGTGCCTCGGGGACCAGGCAGCCCCTGCTCTGTGCAGCCCTGGATCCACTGTCTCAGAAGTACCCACGGGAGCCTTCCTGTGCCCCCCTCCCTGGGCAGCACTGGGACCCTTCTGCTCTCTGTGACATGTGGTGATGGGGCCTCTGCTTCAGCTCTGGGGGTCCCAGGGTCCCCTTGCCCCCACCCCAGCTCCTTGTGCCTTATTTTCTGGCTGGTGTTTACTTTTTAAAACTCCTGGGAGTGCTTGGCTCCTCGCATCCTGCACTGACCCAGTTCTTGCTCGTTGCCATGGAGAACTGGACCCAATTCCATGAACAGTCCCTGTCTGCTCCTGCCTGGCTCCGAAGCCTGGAGGATGCAGTGGTGAACCTGGGTGGGATGTTCTCAGGAGAGGGGCTGGGTGGGATTTACAAGGGCTGAGGAAGGGCTGGAGTCTCCAGCTGCCTGCCCCAGGTGGGTCAGGACAGTTCCTGCAGCTCAGGACAGGCTCCTCGAGCTCAGGATAGTTCCTGCAACTCAAAATGGGTTCCTGCAGCTCAGGAAAATTCCTGAGGCTCCCCTTGCAGCCATTTTTGGTCTGAGACACAAGCACTGATGTCCTCACCACCTCTCTCCCACCTCTCTCACTCCCTCTCACATGTCTGAAACCCCAGAATTATTCAATAAAGGCTTCTGGTCTCATTCCAGGTGTTGTCCACTCCATAGCCAGACCAAGAATATTAAGCAATGCTCAGTCTAATGATAAAGAACACTCAGTTTTAGGGGCTGGTTATTCAGATGAGTATTTAAAACCAAGTTCCACTAAGGAATAATTTGGGCCAGCTCAGACTCTAACTCATTTGCCCTGCGCAGTCTATGAGCAGGTCAGGGTGTAATTTTCTTTTCTGTCCATTTATTTAACTAATGGGTTTTTTTCCCCAGCCTGGAGTGAAATCACCAGTTAAAGGGATTTTTATTCCTGGATGGGAGAGTTGTAGCATGTATTCCTGTGAGGATTATCCCACCCCAGTGCAAGTCATTGCTGCTGCAGACAGGCCAGATGAGACATCCTGATCACTCGCTATATAAGCCCAGTGATTTCTCTTATCTCTTCACTTTGCAGCTTCCCAGAGCAGGGGGGAGACCCAGGGCTCCCAGGCAGTGTGTTTTTAAGCTTTCTCAAGGGAGGGATTTTTAAAATTTCCTATTTAATGGACTACAAAAGAAATGAAAAGTAAAAAGCCAACACCAACCTTCTCCTCAGTTTCCCCAAACCTGGCATTAGCCTTCCCAAGCCCATGCCACATGCTGTTCTTTCCCCTCCTGGTTGACTTGTGGAATGCACTTCTGGTTTGATTTTCAGTATTTGTGGTGCTGAAACCTCTTGTGTTTAAAGCACATTCCTGGAAAGCAGCAGCAAAGCTCATTCCATCATCTCAGAGCAGCCTTTTCCTTTCCATGAAACAACCTGCCATGTGAGTGATGGTTTTAAATTGGCTTTCACAACGAGGGATGCCGTTTCCTAGAAACCCGAGGTTGACAGGGAAAGGCACCAGATAAAGCAGGAAGAGAAAGGGAAGAGCTCCTTCCTGGGCTCATGCTGGCACTGGCTGGGCAAGAGGTGACCAGGGATGATTTAATCAGCTTCCCCTGGTTAGCAGGAGCTGTGACAGGCCCTGGGCCACCCCCAGCACTCGTGGGGCTGGAGCAGTGTTTGGCACTGGCAGGAGGGAACGTGGGACCAGTCCCACGGTGGGGATGGCTCTCAGGGAATTTTGGCACAGCCAGAGGTGACACTGCCACATTTCTTCCCTGGCATCACCTCAGCACAGGCTGATCCTTTGCCATCTGCTGTTGCCCTGCCCAGCACCTCCCAGTCCCGCCCGTTCCTCGGGCTGGCACCAAGCGGGCTCTGAGCCAAGCCAGCCTGAGCAGCCCCAGCAGGGATGAGCCTCCAGCTCTGCTGTCCCAGTGCTCCTCATCCCTTTGGGCCTTGCCTTGGGCTGTGGTTTGTCCTGGAGATGGGTTTCAGGTCAATGAAACCCATGGGTTTAAGGGATAACGAAGCGCACCTATGGAAACCTCAAGGAAAACGCATCCTCCCCTCCCAGGACTCATTTCCCCACTCAGCACGGTCGTCCTACAGACCATGGACAATCTCTGGAGCTTCCTCTCATTCCGCTGGGGTGGAGGCAGGAGGGATGGGGCGAGTGTGAGTCCGGCAGCCCCGGGACCGTGCTTTGCCAAGGTGTGTGCCCTTCCCATTGCATCCCAGCCCTGCAGGCGCTGGGCTAACACAGCATCCATCCATCCTGGCGAGCTGTGGCAGCACCCAGGCAGGAATCCTGCCAGCAGCACGGCGGGCAGCGTGTCAGACACATCCCTGCAGAGAATTCCTGCCTTTCTGGAAGCTCTGGAAGCTCAGAGCAGACGGTCCATGCTGTGGAGCTGTTGTGACAGCCAGGCTGTGCTCACGGCAGGCTCGGGGTGTGCCTCACCTCTCCACGCCGAGCCTTTGCCGCTCAAGTGCCCATCTCTGGCCATTCGGGGAATGATTCTTCTTTGGAAGGTTTTATTTTTCAGTTTGAAAGAAAAGAAAGTTCCCACCTTGTGTCAATCCCATGATTGACAGCTCCTGTCAGCTCTCCCCTGGAGAGGGGAGCTGTTCCTCTCCCAGGGACAACTTTCCCATGGTGAAAGGAGAGGATCTGTGTCTCTTTATACCTGGGAATAGCCAGATTTTTGCTCCTGTTGTGTCCTTGCTGCTCGCTGGGTACTCACTGGGCTCCGGGTCTCTCCTGCCATGGGGGCTCCTCACCAGGGCTGGGGCACCTCTGGCTTTTGGGACCTGTGTTGGGATCTGTTAGACAAGTGGCCAGAGATCAGGACCACCTGCAGATCCCTGCCAGACCCCACACATTTGTCCCAGGACATGCAGCAAACCAGGTTGGAGCAGAGTGATGGAACAGATGAAGGGGATGGGGCTGGGCAAGCTGTGGTGGTCCGGGGTTACCTGCCAGTCTCTGGACCAGGGAATAAAATGTCTGGGAATGGAGGCTGTGAGCCCTGGGCACTGCAGCTCCCCACTCCTCGGCATGGGGCTCTGGGCAGAAGCAGGAGCACCAGCACCAGACCCAGCCCATCAGTGCTGTGGCTCACTGACAACCCACAGCAAGGGCACATCTCTGACCAGTGCAAACACCACAGGTTTGTTCCTAGTGGAAACAGCAACTCATCCTCCAGGCAGCCTCCATGTGCTGGTGGTTTATCTTTAACAGGAAAAGCCTGGAGCAAAGGCATAAAGCAAGAAATATTTAATTCCACAGTGTTGGTTTGCACCGTATGTTTTCCACTTAATAAATATTTCAGGCACCTGAGCTTCAAAAACAGGCTCTGTTTTCTGCAGGTTCGTGTGCCTGTGCTCCCCCACATGAGGCTCCTGCCAGTGTCCCTTCTCCAGCAGCTCCTGCCCAGTGGCACCACTGCAGCACGGGCTGTGCCCACGCCCTGGGCCCAGTCCTGTCTGGTGGGAACCCTGGGAGACCCCCGGGATGTGTCCCCAGGGCTGGGGCTGGGGCTCTGTGAGAGGGCTGCCACAGCCAGTGCTTGGCCCCACCACCAGCTCCATCCCCAAGGCAGCGGTGGATGAGAGCTCCAGGACATGGCTGGCACACTCAGTGTCCTGCATAATGGGACATCACCCAGGGGCTGGCAGCAGGGTGCTCGGTATTTATGTGTATAGATGGTTTTGGATGGAGTTTTAGCACCCCCTGTGCCTGGCCACCCCACCGACTTTCCAGCACAAGGAAAGCTGCTGCTGGGTGGCACCACAAATCCCCTCTGCTCCTGTGGATGCATGGCCATATGTTTTGCCAGGTTTGGGGAACGCTGTGATGGCCAGCAAGAAGATCCCAGGGCTGTCCTCACCTTACAGCCTCCCTGACACACAGACATACCCAGTAACGTATATATATTATATTATATTATATTTTTTATATATATATATATTTATATATATACACATGTTAACAAAGAAGTTGCAAAAAAACCAACAAAAAGGGAAAACCCAACAGGAAGAACAGCCCTCCCCCCAGGTAAAATGGAAGCAGGAATGTTTCAGGTGGAAGGGGAGGCTGAGGGAAGCCAGGAGTCCACACATCCCGAACTTGAGCACTGGTGTCACCAGGAGCAGAGGAACCAGCAGCAGCACGCTGAGCCCCCCTCCATGTCCTAAGCAGGCCCAGGGATGGGGCTGCTGCTCCCCAAATCATGGTGACAGCTGGGTGGGCTCTGCTTTCAGTACCACAAGAGGACAATGTGGGTGAGTGGGAAAGGCTCCAACCCCTGCTCAGGGTGTGGGGCTCCCCCAGCCCCATCTGGCCGGGTATGAGACACGTGTGGGGGCCAGGGGGTCCCACAATTAGTGCAATTTCATCAGGTGCAAATGTCAGGTTAAGGGCTCATGGTCTCTGAGCTGAGGATGCTGAATGCTCCCAGCGCCATCCTCAGCACTGCCGGGCCAGCATCCCCCTCCAGTGCCTGGATCCTCTGGGGTGACAGAGGATCAGCAGCCCCACAGAACCAGCACGGACTTCCATGAGACCTTCCCATGAAAAACATCCGACTTAAAAGGGTGATTTAGCCTCCCAAAGTGAAAGAGGGCCATGAGGCAGGCTGTGGGGATGGCAGGCGTGCCCTGCTGACCCTCCCTGAGCTCCTACACTCCGGGCTGGGAGGAGCAAACAGAGCTGCTCCTCTGCTCAGGAGGAGGCAGGAGGGGGGTATCCCCTGTGCCCTGCCAGGCACCATGGGGAAGCAGCCTGGATCAGAGGGAAACCCCTCTCAGCTTGGCAGGGCCGGCAGAAGATCCTTCCCCAAGGTGCTGCCCACCTCTCTTTTCCAAAAACCACAGCCCAGACACACAGAGAGATGGCATGGGAACACTCTCCTCCTGGACAAAGTTGTCACCACCACACTCACTTAGTATCCCTTCCAGTCCTGCATCCAGGTTGTTAATGAAGATGTTGAAGAGCACAGGGCCGAGGATGGAGCCCTTCAGAACCCCACAAGTGACTAGTGCCAGCCTGATATCACCCTTTGTGCCTGACCCATGAGCCAGCTGCTCAGCCACCCCGTGACGTGTTTATCCAGCTGTGGGCTGGACATTTCATCCAGAAGGATCCTGTGAGAGACTGCTAAAGCCTGCTAAAGTCCAAAAAGATTCCATCTCATGGTTTCCCTGCATCAATCAGGTGGATCACCCTGTTGTAGAAGGAAATCAGGTTCAACAAGCAGGGGTAGTTCCCTATCAGCAAGCTCCACAGGGAGAGGCTGGCAGAGCTGGGAGGTCCCAGCTCAGTGGTCTCCAGTCCCACTGAGTCACCACATCTAGAGGAGCAAAAGGGGTTTCAAATGTCACAGAGCAAAGGCCAAGCATCAGCTGCCTTAGGCTACCATAATGCCTGAAATCCTTGCCCCCACAGTGTCCCAGCCACTCACATGCCCACTGGCCCCAAACTGTGCCACAAACCCCCATGGTGGCAACAGGGATTGTGTGCCAGCCCAGCTCCTCCTGCCCTCTTAAAAAAATCTGGAGACCGGAGCTTGGCCAGGGGACTTGATGCTTGTGGTTACTGGGAGTACTGGAGACAGCCAAAGAGCTCCCAGTAGCCAGGGTCTCTGAGCCTCTGGGACAGACTCAGTCCTCTGCCACGGCGTGAACTCAATGGCTCCACACTCACAGCACAGAATCGTGGAATAGTTTGGGCTGGAAGGGATCTTTAAAATGCACCCAGTCCAATCCCCTGGCATGGTGGAGAACAAACCAGAAGTCAAGAGTCAGTGTCATAAATTGAGATTTTGGGTCACGGAGCATAGAGGTAGTCTTTGAGCAGGACTCTACTGTGGGCTTAGAGTAGGAAGATGAATTTCTGGTTTCTGCTACTGGGACACCAGACAGGACACTAATGGAGACCTATATGGAGCAGGGCACTGCTGGCCAGACCCTGTGTTGGGAAGGATCAGCTGCCAAACCTCTGTGCCAGGAGCCAAAGCTTCTCAAGGATGCAGGCCTCCCCAGTTACTGGGAAGCTCTCAAAGGAGGAGATGGTGGGCTGGGGGGTCGGTGGCTCTCCACTGCAGGACCCTGAAAATTATCAGGAGCATGCTATCTACAGCATGGACAGCCACCAGGAACACCCTCAGTGCCCTCTGCACTCCCACAGACCAGCACCCACCCTCCACAGGACCACCGTCCTCCACACCACCACTGCCAGTGTCACTGAGCCCGAGGGCTCCAAGCCTTATCCACCCCACCAGGGAAGCCACCTCAGCCACACGGAAAGTGTCCTCCCCAGAAAGTGCTGCTCAGTGCTCTGGTCCCTACACCAGCTGTCAGCAGGCTCCAGAGCCCACCCCTCCTGTCCCAACCTGCGCCTCGTGGTACGCACGAGCCATTCCCTGACCACCACGGCACTCAGGTCACCCTGAAACCCGCCCTGGCCTTTCCATCCCCCAAGGGAAGACAGAACCATCTGGGTGACAATCTTCTTGGGGAGAGATGGGAGCAACCACCAAAGAGCTGCTCCAGCCACTCCTGCGCACCCTGGAGCTCACCAACAGCAGCTGATTTCCAGCTGTGGTTCGAGGTTCTTCCACTTTTTCCATTGAAGTAGGATGGAGCTGGGTGTGGATGGTGCTCGACTGCTCGGGTGCCACAGTGGCTCTCTGGCACGGCTGCCAGTGGGCAGCGCTGGCCACCTGCACCACCAGCAGGCAGTGCTGCCACGGGGCACGGGCAGGCCTGGGCAGCCTAGTGACAGGCTTTCATTCCTGACACGTACGGGGACTCCTGGGGCCGGCAGTTACACTCCTGCTGCTCGGGGTAATCGATGAAATCCGGGGCAGGCAGCCCCGAGAGGATCATCAGGGATTTGTTCCAGATGGTGAAGGTGGGACACACCGGCAGGATGAAGGAGACTTCGAAGGTGTGGAGGTGCAGGGAGTTGGCCGGGTCGTAGAAGGAGAGCGCGTTGTTGTCGTAGTCCAGGAGGACACCGAGGCGCTTCATCTGCGGGTGCACCTCCACCAGCATCTCCTTGTTGTTGTGCCGCACCACGAAGTTGTTGTTGCAGCGGGAGAAGACCCAAGAAGAGGAGTTCTTCCCGATCCACTCGTTTTTGGGGGCTGACTTGTAGGCCACGCCGATGGCATACCTGCGGGAGAGGAGAAGCTGTGCTCAGCGCCCTCCAGCCTCGGCACAGCACCAAGCCCAGCCCTGATGGCTACAGCACCCCGTGCTTTCAGAGCCCACCTGCTGTAAAAGGGCACAGGGTGGGCATCTCTGGCAGAGGCAGACTGCAAAAGCATCCCCCCACACAGGTGGTGCCTTACCAGGTGGAGGATCCCACCACCACCTCCCAGTAGTGGCAGCCGCTGTCGATGAAGACGTTGCCGGCCGCGCCGTAGCAGCCGGTCCCGCTGAACCTCTCCGGCGTGTGGCTCTTCTTCAAGGAGCTCTCGTCCTTCTCCATCTGCAGCCCGTCGTTGGAGATCTTCAGCTTCTTGTGAGCCATCTTGGGGTCCAGCTTGAATGGCTGACCTGTGGGGAGGAGACACGTGGATTAGGATTTGTGTTGTTAGCATCATGGTGCAGGAATGATGCTAATAAGACAAATTAGCATCATTTCTTCTGATGGGGCTTCTTCACGTCCCGTGTTCTCAACTTTGCATATTTAATGGTGGTTTGCTTGGGTGTTTTCCCCAAAACCAGACCAGATCTGGGTGATGTCACAGAGCTTCAACCAACCTCCTCTTTTTGTTCATGATTTCCCTCTGAAAGTCCCAGACTATCCCTGGATTTGCAAACAAACCCCCAAGATGCTACAAAGAAGCAAACTGAGTTCAGGTGGGTTTTGCTGCTGTGTTTTCACGTGAGATGGAGTAAAACAATAAAGTGCACACAGGCACCGGAGAGCATTTCCATGGGGATTCACCTGCTTCAGGACAAAGCAAATGACAGCTGCAGAGAACACACCAAGTCCTGCCAATGCCTTCACCCTCATGTTTTGTACCCAGCTTGGGGCATGACTAGCTGTGTCCTCCTTCACACTCCCATTTTTGGCTACAGACACAGGGTCCCAGCAAGAAGAAACAATGACACCACCACAGCAACTGGGTCCTGAGCCTGGGCTGGAGACCTCCACAACAGCCAGGAAACACACAAGGAGAACCCCAGGACAGCTGGGAACGTCTGCAAAGAGCTGCAACATCAGCGACCATTGCAGCTGCAGAGCGGAGCTCATCTGTGCTGTGCTCTATAACCTGATGGTAGCTCGTGCTGGTTTTCCTTGGAGCCCAATTTGCTGAATAATTGAGTTGAGAAGCCTGAGAGTAAAGCTGCAAATTGGGAGTGACCTGCCCCCTCCTTCTTCTGGCTGCTCTGATCTTTCTGCCGTATCTTTTCCTGGCAGTAATGCAAAGAGACAAGCTCTGAGGAAGTGAGGTATAAAAATACTTGGCTCCATCAGGAGACACTCACAGCTCTCTTTCCGAAGGCAACCCCTTGCTAAGGTCAGTGTGAAGAAGTGGAGCCCAGCCCTTATCACTGGCTTGTGCTGCCATGCCCTGGAGCAAGTGCTTGAGCTGCATGCACAGGCAGTGAGTGTGAAGGGCAGGCTTGGAGGGCATTTCAGAGAACAGAGCCAGGCACCTGCTACCCTTCCCAAAATCTCACTCTGGCACTGGGAAAAAATACAGACTTCACAGAGGTCATAATGGTCCCAACCTCAACCCCCCAGCATGGGAGATGCCAGAGGAAGGTGGGCTCTGACTGCAGCCTTCACTCCCTGCTCCCCCACCATCAGCAGCCTCTGTGCCTCCCAGTCACTGCTCTCCAGCCCTCCAGCTCTGCCCTGCAGAGAGCCAAGGCTTGAGATGACTCCTCTCATCACTGATGATTCCTCTCATCATTAACATTTCCTCTCAGCATTAAGGTGCAGCTCCTGGGCTGGTCACTCAGATTACCTTTATCCCACAAATTCAGCTTGCTGGGATATTCCTCATAGCCTTTTGCTGGTCACCCCTGCATGAGGCTTGGGGGCTGTGGGGAAGTAGCTGCCTTCAGGGCTGGACACAGCTGGCTGCACCCCTGGAGCATTTATCATTAGCTGGATCAGCCCTCCCTTCCCTGCAGAGCCAGAGTGGAGCAGAGGAAATCCTGTCTGGCACTGGGTGTGAGGGAGCAAAGGGGAGGCAGCCAGGAACATGGTCAAGGTCAGTGGAATGTGGGGATGGAGCCAGGCAGAGGGAGGTGTGTGCTGGAGCTGCATCCCCACCCTGCAGCACCCCAGACACCCACCCTGCTCCCCTGGACCTCACAGGGCTCCTGCACCCATCACAGTGAGCAGGGGCTCACCAGCTCCTGTCACCCACCCAGAGGGACAGCGAGGACAGGCTGCCTGCTGCCTTACATAACAGCTATGGAAATAACTGGAATGAGATCCCCAGGAGCAGGAGACGACATCCAACACTCAGCCAGATCTGGGACCAGCAGCCCAGCCCACCGGGGTCAGTGCAGGGGTGCCACCAGTGCCCTGCAGCACAGCAGCTCCTCCGTGCCCCACTCCTCTGGCTGCAGGGACACAGGGATGGGTGAGAGGGTGGACAGCTGGTGACTGTGTTTGGCTGAAAATGTGTGGAGAGAAAGGAGGGATGGGTACGAACTCTGCACCCAAGGATGCTGCAGGCACCCACCGCGTTCTGCCCAGAGAGCAAAGAAAGCTGCAGGGACACAGGGACACAAAGCCAGCCCTTCCTGCATTCTGTCCCTCCTCTCTGCCTGCAGTGGCAGTGTGCCTACGTCCCACAGCCATCCAAGATGCCACCTGTGGGGACAGGACACCCACAGAGCACAGCTGCCAACACCATCCTGTCTTCCCTGAAGACATCACCTTTGGCAGAGAAAGAAACAAAGATGCAGCACTGTACTGCTGAGTCATCAAGGCATAGGAAAGCCATAAATCCATCTAAATTTTCACAGATTCCCTGCTGGGAAGCTTCTGCAGGACTCATCCTGCCTTAATATGATTCAGTCAGCAATAGTGATCTTGCAGCCCGTTGCTCAGGCATCAAACCCATTCCTGACATCTCACATGGGATGTGGATGGAGCCATCCTGTAGCACACTAAGGTCTTGCCAAGATATGCAGAAATCAGGAAAAGCCAGAATTGTGAGGGAAAATAAGACCAGGATGCAGTGGCCAAGGCAAGGGCTGTAAAAAACATTTCCCTGCACTTTATTTATGGCCAGAGCTGGGGCTGTCCCTGCATTCCAGCACTTTCAGCTACTTTTGGACACTTGCTCCTAAATAAGTCCTGCTCAGGCCCAGCCTCAGCAGAGGATGGTCTCTCTGTCACTAAACCAAACCTGTTCTCCCAAGCTTCTCTGCTCAGGGATGCAGATTTAGTGCCAGCACTGACAGCGCTGACGCTGTGGAAATCGATGTGTCCTGACACTGACCTTCTGGCGATGGAGAGATCTCTCCAGACATCCCTTCAGGAGCAGAACTGGCTGTGAAATATGTTAATGGGCCCTGTCTGTGTTGAGCTGCTGACGCTTCCACCAAGGTTACAGCAGTGGGAAAGCATGGGTCTGATAACTGGATATTGTCCACAGGAAAAGGAGAAACCCTGGTCCCAAAAACTAGCAGGAGCACAGAGCCACTGGACACCCAAAGGAGCCCTTGTCCCCTGAAGCTGGCCACAGAAGGAAATAAATCAATATATATTATATCCATATATATGGCTAAATCAAACTTTCAGGAATTCAGAAGTTTCCACAAACACAGGTGGCAGAGGAGCACCAAACTGGTGGCAGAGTGGGATGTGCCCATCAATGCCACATGCCTCTCCTGCCCAGCACCTGAGTGGGAAGTGAGGGATAGGTCCTTGTGGAAGGGGCTTTAGCACAGGCAAACCCACAATCACACACAACCTGTGCAGTGTCTCAGGCGGGGCTGCCCCAGGGTTCAAATACACAAGAGGCTGCTGCAGACACATCCCTGCAGCAAGGGGGGCTCAACACCTGGCTGGACTCTGATTGAACCCAGTCCCTCCCCAAGCAGGAGCCCTGGGAGCTGTGCTGGCAGCTCTGCTTGTCGGAATCTGTGGTATTGATGATTCTGAGATTGTAGAAAGTCTCTGTCTTTCTGCCCCGCTGCCAAAGCAGAAGCCATAATTGGTCTGTGCTGGTTTCAAGGTTGTTTATTCTGTTTATTTCTAACATGTTCTGCTGCCCTGCCGCAGCTCTGTCCTGCAGGGCAGCGTGTGGGGCTCTGCCCTCAGTGGGATGTTACAAACATTAAATACCAGAAACTACCTGTGCTGGATTTACAATAACGTGCCAATATCTGTCACCTACGTTGAACAGTGTGTCCCCAGCCTGAACCAACAGAAAAATGCCAACACCACAGTGAAACATGGAGGGCATGAAGAAGGAGAAAAAGGACAAGGCACACCCAATTTCCTCCATCTTGTCCCCTTTGAACCCCTAATCTAGAATCCTAAAATTTTACTTTAGCACCCGTGCCACACTTAATTATTACTCATATCAAACACTCAGAGCTTGTAATTGATCCTGTAAGATTGAAAACTCTTTTCCATGGACAGAGATCACAGACAGTGTCTCTGGGGGCTCTGTCCAGGGGGGTTCCTGACCCCTGCCAGGGTCCCAGACCTTCCAGGGCAGCCAGAGGGAAGCCCTGGATTCCCACATCTGGTGACTGGCACTCAGCTAAAATCCCAGAGAGCAGACCCTGTCCAGTGGGAGCTGCCACCTCGCTCCCAGCTTCCCAGCCCGCCCATTCCTCATCCCAGAGCCAGCACCTCCCAAAGCTGGGGAAGCACTGAGAAACAGCAGCTGCAGGAGGGATCAATTTTTAATGAACAGGCAGACTGGGTTGGAGTTTGCTCTTCAGCAGCTCCCTCAGCCCCACTGCCTCAATGTTGTTTTATGCAGTTTAATGTTGCACAAAGGAAAGAAGGAGGTAGAGATGATAAATCATCATGAAAGCCCTGCTCAGGCAGAAACAACTGCTTGGAGAGGGACAGATGGGAGGGCTGTGCTCACCAGGAGCACAGAGACAAGCAAGCACTGGGAAGGCATGGGCATGGGGCAGGCAGCCTGGAGAGACAACTTATTCTTCCCCCAGCATCTCACACTGTCCCTCCTGTGTCGGCCTTCAGGCCATGGGTGCCACTGCTTCTGCTGTCTTTGCTGTTTTTCAATGGAAAAAGGTTTCCTGCCACAAACCCTGGAGCTCTTTCTGTGCCAGGACAGACAGGTTTAGCTCCACTGCTCTCAGAGCTCAGCTTTCCCTAAACACATTTAACCTTCCTTGGCATCCCCAGGGCACTGGAAAGAAAAAACTTCTGCTTTGTGTGTGGCTGCAAAGCCCCATTCACCACCATGGAGACACTTTTCAACCTTACAATTTTCCAAACCTGTGCAAGTTAAGCCACACACAAGAACACAGTTGCTCTGTGACTCCTTGCATCAGCCCCAGAAAGCCCAGGGATGTAAAGTCACCAGAAGAATGGACTATTACGACCCCAGGGATGGGTGCTGACAGGAACAGAGGGCTGATGGCAGCCCCTGGCACCATATGGGGTATCAGGAGACCATTCCTGAGGTAGGGAAGGAACGGAGGCACCCAGGGAGATGGGCACTGCAGCGATTTAACAGCACAGCGTTTCCATCCCACTGCCCGCTCCCAGGGAGCACTCAGCCATACCCCAGGCACCCTGGAAACTCTCCTCCCCCACCTGCCAGGGCCAGCTGAGTGCCTGGGCACCTACTGTTGGTCTTGAGGCGGGCAGGCTCGCTGTTCCGGCTGCCCGCCTGGTTGATGGCCTTCACCAGGAAGATGTAGCGGGTGCCACTCTGCAGCCCATGCACTGTGTAGTGGTTCTGCTTGATGTTGGGGACGATCATCCAGCTGTCCATGGAGTTGTAGAGACCTGCAGTGCAGGAGAGGGGCAGAGATTTATTCCCAGGGAAGGACAGAATACAAAGCCTCTGTGCTGCTCATGCAGAGCTCATGACCGTGTGTCCCTCAGAAGGATTTACCACCTGCCTGGGGGTTCAGAGTGTCTGCGGGGAAATTTCCAGAGATGATAAATCCCAGCAACACAGAATCTCTTCCATTATCACACAAATGTTGGTAAGGCAGGACCAGGGCTGCAGCGCTGACATCTTGGGATGCTGCCATGGGAAGTGATGGGGAAAGGGTGCAGAGAAAGGAAAATGCAGCCAGCAGCAGCTTCTAGCCAGGGCAGATGGCAGAGGAAGCTGTTGGTGCCTGGGAGGGGGCGATGGTCACCATCCTCCCACCACCACCCCACCATCACTCTCTGCCACGTCTCTGCTCCTGCAGGACAGCCTCCCTCCTGCTCTAGGCCCCAGTATGCAATTCAGCAGCACAAAGGGATGCATTTGCACCCAAATCAATGTGTTTGCAACTGAATATTGTTCCTGCCCAGTCCGAAGTGCTCCAGGGTGGGAAATAATAATCCATGGCTAAGGGAGGCTGATGTTTGGCTCCCTAAATAGACTGGTCTGCAGAGTGGTTCAAAGAAAATGAGCTCCCAGTGAAGGGATCCAGACGCTTGGAAACCATTCAGCAGGCAGAACTCTTTCTGGAAATGGGAAGGAATGAAGAAGCCAAGACATGGAGGTGCCAAGCTGACTGCTGCAGTGATTTGCAGTGTCTGAGCCTACAGGGCCTGGCATGTGTGGAAATGTAGTGCTGTACCTCAGGTGGGGTGACACAGTGCTCCAGGAAAGGGGAAAAGCCTTACATGGTGCCACAGGCTGTTCCTGCCATCTGCATGACTGGGATGAGGATCACCTGCAGCTGGCATGAGCATCTGAGAGGCTGAACTGGGGACAAAGATGCTCTGGGGCTTCGGGGAAACCAGGGCAGCTATCCCAGCACAGGGGTAGGGCTTTGAGCCAAAAGGAATAAGGAAGTGTGAAAGAAGTAGCTGGAGGCTTCCTAGATCTGGTGAGAGGTGAGGAGTGCATTGTGAATTTGGGGTGACTGGAGGGGGGTTTCAACATGTGCAGGGCTGGGAGGCAGGAGATGGGAACGCTCCACACCTCTTTTGCAACGGCTTCCAATTCATTCATCTTCAGTGGCTGTCTCAGCCGCAGGACAAGGGCAGGTTGCAGTCCCTGTCATCCTGAATTTGGTTTGAGATCCACGTGGGAATGGCCGAGGGGCACAGAGGAGTGTGATGTGAAGTAAAAAATAAACCAGATGTGATCCTGATTGCAGCTGCACGCAGAGCTGCTCTCGTCAGAGCGCACAGCCTGGCCTGGTCGGTGTCACCTTCCTGCAGGAAGGACCGGCTGGGGATGCTCCATCAGGAACAACGAGGTGGCTAAGACACGAGAAGGACTTGACCTTCCAAGTAGGTTTCTTTTGCAAAACAACCTCAAAGAGCTTGGCCTTGAAGACTAACCTCCTCGCTCCTACCCTTGCCAAAGGTTAAAAAAATCCCTTTTATTGTAGCATTCATCATCCACAAAAATGTCTGCCTCTTGCCAAACCCTTGGGTCTGATGGAAGCATGAAGGGGATGGGCTCCACAGGCCAACTCTGCACACCTTGGAAAGGTATTTCCTCTCCTGGTCAGGCTCCCAGCCCCTGCTCAGTGCTCCAGTGTCTCTTCCCATGAGTTCAGCCAGGGCTCACACGGTCCCATGACACAAACTATGCTATTGCAAGGGACAAGAAGTTATTAATTTTCTTCTCAGTGATTTAACTGATGTTTTTTTCACTCCTCATACAAAGAGCAACCTGGAGGCTGCTGGCTGGCCAAGAAGGACGTTTCTGACTTGTGACCCTCCAGGCTCTCCTCCAGCACTGCCCTCACTGTTCCTCACCCTCATGATCTCCACAGCTCCCCCTTTCCAAATGCCTGTGCCAGACCCCAGAGGTGGGCAGGTGACTCATTCCCAAGTCCCTCGGTGTATGGGACTCCAAGCCATGTGTGTCCAAAGTGGCACGTGGGAAAAGGTGAGAGCCAGATCCTTCCCTGGCATCATCCCAGGGCAAGGGCACAAACTGCAGCAGGGGAAATCCTGAGTGGAAAAGGGCAAAATCCTCACAGCTGAGGGTGAGGAAGCACTGGATGCTCCATCCCTGAACAGTCCTTCTTCCTCAAGGAGCAAGCCCTGAGCAACCTGTCAGCCCAAACTGCACAGAGCTAGCACAGGGACCTTCAGACATCCCTCCTGACCAAAACCACGTGGTGACACCAACAAGTCCCCATCTTGTCCACAGCTGGAAGTGCAGGGGACGTGGAGCTGGTGGCCATCCAGGAGCAGAGCCAGAGAGGCGGCTGAACTCTCCAGGATTCCAGAGGACAAAGTGCTGGAGACAACGTGCTCTAGCTGGGAAGGAGAGGAGAGCCAAGCAGGGTGGGTCTGGCTGCAGCAGCACTGGCACCCGAGAGCCACCGTGGAAAGGAAATGCATCATCTCGTTTTCCAAAACAAGGGCAAAGGCTGGAGCTGGGGAGGTGAGATCCAGCTTGGAAAGTCACAGGGAACTTTCTCTGGCAGCTTCCTGCACATTTCAGAGAGCACTGAACAGCCTTCCGGGGCCGTGACACCGTGCTGCCGGTGCCAACGTCCTTCCAGCCAGCGGGACAGACTGACGGCAGCCCAAACACCCGCTCTGAGCCACCCTGTCAGCACTTCTACAATGGCCAGTGCTGCTAGGAACACCAGGAATAAAACTTTCTCATAAGCCACAGACCATCAGTGATTCTGTCCTCAGTCCTCAAATCAAATCCCATCCTTGTGAGACAAATCTGTGGCGCTGTGGAAAAACAACTAGGTATGGCAGTAATTTTCATGGAAAATTACCTGGAAATATGCCTCAGAGCTGTTCCAGAGGGTTTATAAAACAGCTTAGTTATCAGTCATGGAGCAGCCAGCATTGCCCTGCATACAATCCCAGGTATCCACAGATTTGGGAGCTGTGAGATGGACAGGAGCCTCCAATATTCCTGATGCTTCACCAAGCTGGGGCTGACGACACCAAGCACAGACCAGAGCACCTCAGGGATGGCCCCCCAACACGGGGAGGTGTCCACTGCTCTGATCCACTAGCTGCTGTTTCCTCTGCAAATATCCAGCCTTTAAAACCACTGATGAACCTGAGAACCTCTCCTTACAGAACCCCAGAGTGCTTTGGGCTGGAAGGGACCTTAAAGCTCACCCAGTGACACCCCCTGCCACGGGCAGGGACACCTTCCACTATGCCATGTTGCTCCAAACTGGCCTTGCACACTTCCAGGGATGGAGCAGCCAGAGGTTGTGTGGGCAACATGGGATTCCTTGCTGAAGGGGAGTGTGGTGACTTACTGATGAAGTTGGCCTGGCCGGTGAAGATGGTGTACTGGAGCTCGTAGGAGCTGACGCTGAACTCGTCCTCTGAGATCCAGTGCACGGTGATGGTGTCGTGGGAGGCTGTGCAGAGCTCCTCACGGACTGACGGTGGGTTCGGGGCTGTGGGATGGCACAGACCACAGACTTTGGTCAGTTTGGGCTTTCCCCCCTTAAAAAACCAGGGCTTTTCCCCTCATGTTAGGACTGAGATGGGCTTGCAGGAGTAGTCTCTCAACAGCAAAAACTCTCTCATTTAATCTGTCACTGTGTTCCCACTGAACTAAACTTTTTAGTTTAACAAGGCATCCAGAGGTCAGAGCACAGGATTTTCACTGCTGCTCCATCAAGTCTGACACCCCCACCCTGAAACAGGCTGAAACCCACTTCCAAATCCACTTATTTCCCTGCACTGGTTGTGGAGTAAGTATTTTATCCCACAACTGATCTGGACATGCTTGTGCTAATCTTTCACTGAAAGCTGATCTGCTTCATGATGATAAAATCGGATTTGGTGAGTGAGGATGTCCTTGCCTCCCTGGGGCTCTCATCCCTCCAGTGCCCCAGCACACGCTGATCCAGCAGCCGTTGCTGCTCCCAGACCACCGAGGGCAGTGATCAGTCTGTGCTGGGCATCAGGGCAGCACTGAGGGGCCCACTGAGGTCCCGCCCAGAAGGGCTCATAATTTAGGACCAAGTGACCCAGAAAAAGGGCAGGAAAAGGGAAATGTTGAAGCACAGAGTGCCTCAGAAGTATAATAATTAATTAATTAATCATTCCTCCTCTGTAATCCTGATGGACCCTCATATAATCCTTATCCTTCTTGCAACCTTATGGACATCAGCCTCCCCCACTAGGTCATGGAGACCATAATTTTAGGCTTTCTGATCATGGGTCCTCCAGGAACAGGAGGGTGAAACAGGAGGATGGGGACATGTCACTGTCCTGGGGACAGCACAGGCCCTGCTCTGCCACAGATGACCTGGCACTTGTTACTGGTTAAGCCCTAAAATAGGTCTGCCAGCCCTTGGTGGAGCACAGGGCAGGGGACTGAGGGGAAGATACAGAGTGGAGCACACCTGAGCACTCACCTGTTAAATAATCCAGTCCCTCCAGCAGCTTCTTCTCTCTGGAAAAATCTAAAGCAAAGTTTTCAAAGGCATCATTAAAATTGATATCTGGTATCAGGACTTGCGAGGATGCAGTTGCCATGGCGACCCTGGAAGGAAAGAAGGGACCATCAGTATGCAACAGGGTGCACGAGGGAGGCACAGGGATGGGGACAGCCTCACTGTGCCTCACCTGCTGCCAGGAAAACAGCTTGCACCTACAGACCACTGCTCCCACCCAGGAAGGTGGCCTAGCCTGGGCACAGGCTCCCTGGGAGTGGGGGGCTCCATCCCTGGGGTTTACAGCTTTGACTGGTCCCTGAACTCCCTTTGGACTGGCATTTCCACCACTTTCCTACCCCAGGGAAGGGGGCTTGCTTCCCCAGTATTGTTATGACCTGCCACGCAGCACCTGTCCTGTGAGGGATGGGATTTATTTGAGGACAGCACAGGCTGCAGGGATGGCTGGGGATCTCCAGCCAAGTGACTGGAGGGGACTTGGCTCATCTCTGGGCAGGAACCTACAAGCAGGGGCCAGCTCCAGCAGCAGTGTCCCGTATCGCCGGCCGGGGGCTATGTACAAGTCACGAACGGGACGGGACTGCTGTGGCATGCAGTCTCATTACATGGTTATGGCAATGGGAAGATGCCAGCAGCTCACATCCAGGCAACAGACCAAGAACTTTATGTTACAACTTACTTTATAAGCTTTTTGACCAGTCACACAAAGCAAAATCATATTGACAGTAGTTCTATCCAATCACTATAAGCCCACGTACCTTTAGTTAAAACAATGCTGGCTTATTTCGAATACAATACTTGCTTGTAAGCCTCAAGATACAATGCACAGAGCTCAATTATTAAGCTTAGACCTCCTTAATATCTCACCAGAGATACTTTTCTGCAACTTAGGGAGTTATTCTACCCAAGCTATAATACACAGACCATTGTTCTATTTGTCCTTTCTTTCTACTTCTTGTATAATTTTTCTGCTGACAAATCTTATAGCGACTGCTTAGCTCTAATCACCATCCTGCTGTCTCTGTGGCCTGCCTTTTGCAAGGTGCCCAAACCCTCTGATGTTAAGGGATCCCACATCCCCTGCCCAGCACACCTCTCGGCCACGTTGCGGGCGGTCTGCAGGAACCGCGCGTGGTCGTTCTCCTTCAGGATGTGCTCGGCCTGGTTGATGAGGACCGTGGAGCGCTCCAGGCACTGCCGGCAGTTGGCAACCTGCTGGGCCAGCTTCCGCAGCTTCATCACCTGTCGGAGGAGCAGAGGGAGCCAGCGGGGCTCCTGAGCCTGAGAGGCACAGAGGGAACCCCATCCTGAGCCAGCAGCTGATCACCGCGAGCAAGGAGCAGTGAAAGGGCACAGCAATGTCTCAGTGGCTCTGGGGAGGGAGCACAGCAAAGCACTTCCCATGTTTAATTTTGCTGGGGGTGGGAAAGTCCCAGGGCACAGCCTGCCCCTGGCTCTGAGGGTCCCATATGTGATGGACCCTGGAGAGCAAAGCATCCTCTGTCCACTCCTCCCGTGCAAACAGAGTGACCCCCATGCCAGCCTGAGGAGAGCAGGCTGCCATGAGACTCCTGCCAGTCACTCAGCCCAAGGCAAGGGAACCTCGGGAGCAGAAGCATTTACAGGGCTGATGGAAGGTATCACATTCACAGCTCTGAACTGAACTGACTGCTGGGTGACCAAGGTATGAGGGAATCTGCATGTTCTCCCCCTCCCTTCTCCCAGGCTCCATACATCCCTTGGGCCATTTGTCAGGCAAAGCAGGGCAGAACAAATGGAAAACCAAATGGCAATCCAGCAGGAAAGCAGAATTCCTCGCTCCTCAGCTGGAGCACTTCAAACCAGCCACAGCCTCTAAAGGTTAATCCTTTCTCCACTGCTTTTGCAGAGGGTCTGGGCACTAATCTGTGCCCTTCACCTCTACCCAGCTGTCAATTGTAGGAAAACAACATCTTGGAGCTTCCAGGTCCTTCTAAGCATGGCTGGAACTGGACAGCAGAGCCTGGAAGAGTCAAGGAAGAGGGTGGGAAGAGCAAGCAGACAGACAGATGGATCGGCAGACGGCGCCGTTACATAAAATACGTTCCCTGGAGTGCTTGGGGTAGAAGCAAGATTTCCAAGCTCCCACTGCTGCCAGGCTGTCCTGGAGCTGTGCCGGTGCCTCTTCTGCCTACACATGCAGTGGAACCTGCTCCCAAACTGCCTGGGCAGCATCTGTATTTGGGGCTTGGCCATGGGCACCATGGTGGGACCCCAGTGCACACCCAAGCTCAGTGAGAACAGCAATGGGGTCATGCAGGCTCCCCTGGGCACCCTCAGAGCTACAGCCCGCCAGCCCTCTTGCTGTTGCATGTGGAGAACCCACAAGATGAGGCTGATGTCTCAAACACCAACAGCTGGACAGCTGCAGAGCCAGCTGAGGGTTGTTGGAGCTGGAGAAGGGCCCCAGGGAGGTAGAGCAGCACCGTCCTGGGACAAACATCCCTGCTGCAGCTCCTGGGGATAAGCACAACACAGCACAGGAGTGAGATGAAGCAGTGGCATGGACTGTAGGGGGATCAAGACCATAAAAGACCCCTGAAGCCTCTGACCCATTTCCAGAAAATGTCTGGAAGAATGGACTGTGCATGAGAACTGATTTGCGGAGGAAGTGAGAAGTCTGCAGGAAAGGCAAAACTTTTCTGTAAAAAGGTCCCCCCTGGAAGCACAGGCAGTGCCCCCAGGACCCTGACCCATTTGTCATTCCTTTCAATCATGAGTACCTATGCATCTTGGGTCCCTTCTCCTTTGGGGTGGGATGCTACAGATAGAAACCATCAGGAAACACCTGGAGCCACAAAGATGAGGGTGAGAAGCAGCTCCCCCTCAGCTGTGCTGCAATGCAGAGCATGCAGCCTCTGCTCTCTCTGCAGCACTGGACTATGGCCCTTCACTATTAATTCCACATTATTCTATTAGAACCACAGTGGTGAAGAGCCCTGAGGAAGCTGTCTGGAGTGATCCAAGCCTCTGCACCAACTTGTCACGCTAACCAACACACTGCTCCTCCTCCAGCCAGCACATGCTTTGTCCTTGGCAGAGGAGCCCTGGGGCAGCAGCAGCGATGGACACCTGGATATGGGGTGGCACCTGCAGTTTGGACAAGGAGATGCACCGATGTGCTCAAAGCAAACCCTTCATGGCAAGGCAGCACACGCTGTGCAGCCCCTCTGCCCGAGGCCAGCACGTCCCGGTGTCCCTGGCTGCAGGAGGGCTCCTAGACAGGAGGGGCAGACCCTGCAGCAGCCATCCCGTGGGCACAGGAGGGCACCTGTGACAGGGACACAGGAGCTGGGACCCCTCACCTTTGTCTCCTTGATCTTGACAGCGATGACCTGCTTGCGCTGGCGGATGATCTCCATCAGCTCATCACACTCCTCCATCAGCTTGGCCTCGTGCATGGCTGTGTTCACCTGACCAGGAACAGCACACAGGTGTTGGGAGGGACACACAGCTCACAGGTGTTGGGAGGGACACACAATACACAGATTTTAGGAGTGACACACAACTTACAGCTGTTGGGAGGGACACACAGCACACTCTCATGGCTGTGCTCACAGTGGTGCACACACAGAGTGCAGTGGGGACACAAGCAGAGGTCCCAGTCCTCTGCCTCCAGGGAAGACCAGTATCCATGGGAGGATGGACAGGACAGGACAAGAGGGAATGCACTTCATGGAAGAGGAATCGAGCCCTAGCACCTCATTAAAGCACACTACAGGACAGAAATCAGTTTTCCTCATTTTATACTCCCCAATCCCTCTGAAACAAGGCAGCCTTGAGCGAACCACATTTTTGCTACAGGATCTTTTTTTAAACCTGGCCAGCAGATTATGCAACACTGGAGTGGGAGACAGCTGATGGTCTGCAAAGAGAGCTCCACTGAGGAAAAACAGTGGAAAATCTTCCCAATCTGCTGCATGTGGCAGGGGGTGGGGAACAGCCCCAGGGTTTGGAGCCTGCAGCAAGCTGCTGTGGCATTGCTGCTGTGGCATTGCTGCTGTGGCAGAGCTGCTGTGGCATTGCTGCTGTGGCAGAGCTGCTGTGCTGCTGTGGCAGTGCTGCTGTGCTGCTGTGGCAGTGCTGCTGTGGCACTGCTGGCAGCACCCTGGTCCCTCAAAGCTGTGTGCCCACAGGGATGGCTGCCACCCCAACTTCCCAGGAGCACACACCTGGACTCCCCCTCTCATTCAGCTTCTGGGACACATGAGGCTGAGGGAATATGGGGCTGAAGGCTGTGCACAGCAAGGGGCAAGAAAGAAATGTTGGGCCAAGGGACAGGAGGGGAGGTTGCGGCACCTCAGCTTGGCCCTGGGTCCATCCCTCCAACCATCTGCTGCCCAATGGTCCAGCTCAGGCCTGGAGTGTTCCCCTCCAGGATGGCTACAGGAGAAGAGAAATCTGTAGCCATCCACAGCCTAAATCTGAAAACTTGCCCAGGGCAAGAAATCTCCCCTCAACCATGTTGATGTTCTGGGGGGCTGAAGGCAGATCAAGTTGCAGAGGGCACCACAGTCCCTTTCCCAGTTGCCTTCTGCCAAAACAGGAGCATTTTTGAGGCTGGGGTTCCCCCAAAGGGCCAGCAGAGCATGGAGGGGGTCCTGCAGAGCAGGACTGCTCCACTGGCAAAGCCCTGGCTCAAGAACACCTGGACACTGGCCAGACCCCTCTGTATGGATGAAGCAGCTCCCAGGTAAATGCTGCATTTGGGGTGAACACTCAGCAGGTGCCACGGCTGCAGGAAAGCTGGGCAGCTTTTAGTTGTAACAAGGGAGAGAAAAAATACTTCACCCACCTCAGTGCTGGGGGGGAATGTGCTAGGAACAACAGTCCTGGAATAAACCCAGTTCTGGGAAAAGCCTGTCCTGCACCTCGTGGGGATGAGAAGCAGCAGCTCAGCATCTCAGCCCACAGCCTGACTCACACACAGGCAAGCCTCCTCCTACGTGCCCTGGCAGCTCAGGGATGGAGCAGAGGACCCCATCCCACCTCCACAGTCCTCAACAGGTTTTTGGCTATGTAGCAGCTGTGCCCTGGGGACACCAGGAGCTCACACTGAGGCTGCTGTGACACAGAGGCCACGGTCCCACGGCACACCTGCAGCTTCTGCTCTTCCCCACAATGGGATATTGGGCTGGTACCATCCCTATTTTACAGACTCAGCTTCTCTGCAGGGCTGTTGTCTGCCCTCCTTGGTCCACATTTCCATCACTGCCACAGGACTTGCCCATTTTGACCTCTCTCAGCACAGCCCCCCATGCTCCAGAGTCACTCTGAGGGGCAGCCCAGGCTCAGGGCTTTGACTTGTGCCCTTCTCTGGGGTGAACCCCTGTCCCTCGAGATCTTGGTGGCACCATTCTCTGGACATGCCATGAGATTTACACTGAATGTTTCTGAGGGGCAGAGTACATGGGGATTATGTGTGCTTGCCTGTGTGCCATGTCTGCAAATATCTCAGAAGCAAAATTCCCTGGAATCAGATTGATGGAGAGCACAGATATTTTCTGCTTCACAGTTTACTGCGCTCTCTGCAAAGGGGCCTCCGAGGGCCTGGCTGTGCATTCAGCAAAGCTGAGAAATGTTACTTGAACTGTTATTTTAAGCAGAGCGTCTGACAAAGCTGAAAACTCACAAACTCCGTCAAAAATGACAGCTTAGAGGTCTCAGACTCTGAGGATCAGACAGAAATACCAAATGTCTTTCAATTTATCCAAAGTCAGGTCGTTCAGACATTGGAGCTGGATTCAAAGGAATGGGTTTGGAAGGACATGCAGCCACATCCCTGCTCCATCCCTGGTGGGTTCTCAGAGCCAAAGCATGGCCCATCAGAGCAGCAAGGGCTGGTGACTGCCACCAGAGCTCTGCAAGGGCATTCTGGCTCCTTCTCTCTCTGCCAAACATCCATGCTTCTGTATTCCCAGACTCAGGCCAAGCCCACTGAGCCCTGGAGAAGAAGAAGCCCAGGAGGGACACTCCCAACAAAGCCATTCCTACTGCAGAGTGAGGCACAGGCAGAGAGAAGCAGGACAACACCAGTGACACAGAAGGCCAGCAGTGCTGCAGAGCCAAGTGGGATTTTTCTGCTCCTTATTTTGGCTGGAAGTTCAGAGCATCTCAGCCCCCTCCTCCTCTGCACATTGTGGCAGTGGCTGCCAGCTGCTGGTGGCACACTCAGCCCTGCTGGCACTCACAAAAAGGGCTCCTGCACTCACTTCCTCTTGCCAGAGCATCAGGACATTATTGAGAGAGTGAAGAACAAAGTGCTGATGCTGCCTGCAGAAACTACAGGGCTTGAAGCACCTTCACAGCCCTAAACTGAGATTCAGGTGGTGAAGGACAAGCTGCAGCTCCCTGGGCAAATGCATCACAGAAGCTTTGCTGTGGGCAAATGACTCCACCCTGCACAGGAGGATCCCTTGTCCTGCTGCAGATCCCTGCATCCTGCTGCAGCATTCCACGACAGCATCCCTCCGGCTTACTTGCAGCATCCTGAGGCAACATCCCCACATCCCACCACAGCATTCCAGCATCCTGCTGGCTGCTGGGCCCACGGGATGGCTTGGGGGAGAGCAGGGGAGGCACAGGACTTGCATGCCATGCAAGGCCTGGGGTGTGAGGCTGAAGTAAACAACTGCTGTGTTCTCTCAGGCACTGGCAAACTCCCCCTGAATCCATGGCAGCAGCCTGGGCTTTAGTTCTACAGGAAGCTGGTGGTTCAAGGAATTGCTGCATGCTCGGTGTCACCCAGCTGAGGCCTCTTTGCAGGCTCAATGTCACCCAGTTGATGAGCCTTGTTACAGGCTCAGTGTCACCTGGCTGAGCCCTGTTTTCACATTCGGTTTCACTCAGTCTTCCACCAAAAGCAGCTGCTGCCCCCAGCACAGAGCAGCGGGCAGGTCCTCCTGCCTGGAGCCAGCTCAGCAGCCCATGTCTCTTCTCAGTGCCTCTCAGTCATGACAACTCCTTCAGACCCCTGGGAACCATCCCTGTGTCCTCCACTGCTTGGGACTACCCCCAGTCATCTCTGCTCCCAGGGGAGCCCCAGGAAAGGACTCTGGGGTGATCCATGCATTGACTCCCTAGAGCTGGAAGCTGCCCCAGACACGTCCCCCAGCCCCCCGGCCCTCACCCACCTCCACTTGCTGGCAGATCTGTATCAGCTTGGCCATCTGGTTCTCCAGTTCGCTGTTGCGTTTAACCAGGTTGGTGAGATTTGTCTCCAGGGTTTGCTGCAGGTCCAGAAATGGGAGAAAGAGGAAAAATACAGAGATCAGCAAAGCTGGAGTGTCCCCAGTCCCCTGCCAGCAGCTGAGACCCTCTGCCACCAAGCACACTGCCTGAGGGAGGGACACTGGAACAACTTTGGGAAAAGCTCTGGGCAGCTCCTGCCCGTGCCAGAGGGCTCTGCCATGGGGGAGACTGAGCCCAGCACTGCAGTGACCCTGGGGTGTCACTAGCTGGAGAGGACAGCGTGGGTGTCTGCCCTTTGCCACTCCTTTGGAGAGCAGATTTTGACTATTTTCATCATCAATTGTGCTCTGCACAGGCTGAGGGAGGTGAACAAGAGCCTGATGAGCCATGGGAGAGGGATGTCTTCTCTGCCAACCACTTCAGCTGGAGCTACCATGGCGCAGGCAGGGAGAGCTCAGCTGCACCGTGCTGGCCTTCATTCCCCAGCCACGCTGCCCTTTGCTCACCAGAGCAGATCTCACTGGCAGATTGCAGCCAGCAGATCACAGCCAGTGGATCTGGGCCAGAAGATCCCATGGCGGGTGGATCCCAGCCAGCAGCTCTTGAGCAGGAAGTCATGACCAGTGGATCATGGCCAGCAGATCTCTGCCAGCAGATGACAGCCTGAGAGGACAGGGATTCCCAGGCCTGCTCTGGTGCCCACAGGCTGCACTGCTCTGGGAGAAGGAGGGGATCCAGTGAAGCACCGATGAAAACCCCATTTGAGGGGATCTCGATACCCATGGCCATGGGGGGAGCACAGTTTCTGGGTGTTTTCAGAGACACAGCATTGCCAGCTCCACGTGCTCTGCTAACGGGAATGCTTTATAACAAAGCACTTGCTACCTGTTGCAGCGCTTGTCAGGAAATGATATCCTATTAATATTTTAAACTCCAGGGCTGGAAGAGGGTCCCTGAGGTGGTTCATTCATCTGCAGGTAGGAACTGCAGTCTGAGGCCTTCATCTGACTCCAGCAGGCCCATAAACACAGCCCCTCTCCATACACATGGGTAATTGGGGGCTACTGAGCCAGGAGAACTTGAATTACAGGCACGGAGCACAGGCAGAGCACTCATTCCTGAAAAACCACTGGCTCCTAAAATATCCCGAGCTTGTTTGCAGTCCCAAAAATTGCTGGCCAAGGGCAAGTAAGGCAGAATGCAGGAACAGGCTGGAGAAATGGAATAAAACCCAGAGAGCCTTGGTTATGCCAGAAGGGATTGCAGAGTGGGGCTGTATGGATAATGGAAAAGCCAGCTGCTCCCGCCCCCCTCTCCTCATAGCCCAATATTATAAACATCATTTCACTACAGCAACGAACATTTCACTTGCTAATTACCTCCCTCATCACCAGCGTGGCTGCACTGAGGTTGCAGCTTTGAACTCGCACCAATCTGCTTTAATCTTCCAGGCTGTGATGGAGGGCAGGGCGGGGGGGCTGAGGTACAGCTTTGAAGCACACGTGCCCACACCCCATTTGCAGCATCCCAAGTTTTCTAGGGGATGGCATCACTCCTCCCATCCACAAACACACCCAAACCCTGTCCCCGAGCACCAATCCCTTCATCACACATCCTCTGTGGCAATGCTGAGGCAATTTGAGGTGCTATACTGGTGTCAGCCATGGTTCCACAGACCTTTGCTGCTCCCCTGCCCTCGGTGCACCCACAGACCCTCACTGCCAACCCCTCTGCATCCCAGGAAAACACAGATGGAATGTTTCCATCTGTTTGATGTGCTGAAACGAATAAAATGGGTTTGAAGCCTGGATCACACCAGCTGGTTATTTTGTAGGTGTATATAAATTACAGCAATTACAGGGGTTGGGTTTTAATTGCTTTATAAAATGCCCGTCATTTCCCCAAACCTCCACCTTCTGTCCTGAAATAGAAATAGGTGATTTCTCTACAACTGGAGAGACAAATGAGAAAAAGTGACAACAAGGCCTTGAGCAGGAGTCACTGTGTGGGGAGAAGGGCCAGGGTCACCCAGGGACAGCAGGACCAGAGAGGGAAGTGCCCAGGCACCCTGGGACAGGGGCTGAACCTCCCCCATGCCCGGGATCAAACCTTCCCACAACTCCACAGAGCAGCTCAGCACCTGCACCCCTTTACCTGCCACTCACCAGATACACCATAAATCCATTCCCACCCAGCCAGAGGAGGGCAAGCACTGACCTGCAAGTACCAGTGCTCATGTTTGTTCAGTTACGGGCACAATGATTTTCTTTACCTGATTTTCTTTTTCCTCCAGATACCAAACAAGCAGTTGAACTAAACATGGATTTATTTCTCTGTTTGAAGAAGGCATCAAGGTTACAGGCTCAAGACAACTTCAGGAACCATAAATATGTGGTGTCCTCCTGGTCCCTGAGCTTCTTCAAACACGACCTGGCCACAGTTGACTCCACAGCCTGTCCCCAGCCCATCCACCAGTCTGGCAGCTGGTTCACTCTGAGAAACGCTGCCAGCCTTGTGCCTTTAACCAGCTGAGAGATGGAACACAGCAGGCTCTGAGCCCCAAGCAGACGGCCAAAGAACAGGCTCCCCACACCTGAGAGGGGTCCAAGTCCCCAGGGGTTTGGGCCATGCAAGCCTCAGATCTCCCCCAGGGCTGGGAGGACCTGGAGAGCCCTGGAGCTGGGGAAAGCCCTAGGGACAGGCATGCAGGGGTGCTGGGTGGCTGCTGCCATCCCTCAGCACTGCTCTGAGGGCCAAGAGACTGAGCCTGGCACGATGGCACAGAGGGTGTCCTTTGGCTCTGCCTGAGCCAGGTTTCTGCATTTATTTTCATGGGAAGACAGCCAAAACTGGAGTGATACTTCCAATTATTTACTCAGGGCTTTTCTCATTGCCCCTGTTCATCCACAATCACTTCCAATAACGCAGGTGAATCCCTGCCCCAATCCTCCTGCACACCACAAACACATATGTGTGCATCCACAAACCCACGTGCAGGCACACAGGCACCAAGTCAAACCCACTCCAAAATGCTCCCTGCATGCCAAAGTGTCAGGAAAACCAGTTCCTGGAAGCCACCAGCATTCAACAGCCTCACCTGGACAGGGCAGGGGATGAGCCCCTGCAGCAGCCATCTGGGACTGCTGCCACGCTGAGGATGCACAGTGAAGCCCTCGGGGCTGAGGATGTGCTGCCAGGTCCAAGCACAGGCAGGATTCCTGCTGGGTCTGACTTGTTCCTCTGACTTGTTTTGGAGCAGCACAGGTAAGCCAGATGTCACCAGGACATCGCCCAGGGCATCAGAGTCTGCCATGGAGCTCCTAAGGGAGCTGCTCATTTTTAAAATGTTGATAGCATCAGGCAGAATCGCACTGGAGCTGCGGGAACCTCCACCCATGTCCCTGTTCCTGGCCAAAACACCGCTCTGCACTGAGCCCCTGCCCCAGGAGCCCACTGTGGGGATGATGGAACGATGGAATTGATGTGGTTTGTCTCAGGAACGCTGGGGCAGCTTTCTGGGGGAGCAGCAGCTGGACAGGGTAACCTGCAGGCAGCTCCCACCAGGGTCATTCCAACCCCTTCTGCTCTGGAGGGATTTTGGAGCAGGACAGTGACAGCGGGGTTGGTACAGCATCCTCCCACTCCCAGGGCAGCTGCCTCTGCACTGCCAAAGTAAAATCACAGAGGTTTGGAAGGGACCATAAAGCACATCTCATACAAACCCTGCCATGGGCAGGGACACCTTCCACTACCCCAGGGTGCTCCAGGCCCTGTCCAACCTGGCCGTGGACACTTCCAAGGCATTGGCAGCACTGCTCAGATCAGGCTCCTCTCAGTGGCCACAGCAGGTCCAGAGCCTGGCATTACTCCCATGCCAGTGGATGGTCCCACTCCCACCTCCCATAGCTGCACAGAACGTGGCACTGCTCACTGCCAGCCCTGGCAGCAGCATATCCAGGTGATTCAAACTGGAAAAGGGGACATTTAAGTTAGATATATCAAAGACATTTTTCCCTGTGAGGGTGGGCAGGCCCTGGCACAGGTGCCCAGAGCAGCTGTGGCTGCCCCATGATCCCTGGCAGTGCCCAAGGCCAGGTTAGACACGGGGACTTGGAGCAGTCTGGGACAGTGGGAGGTGTCCCTGCTCAGGAAAAGGGGTATAATGAGATGAGCTTAAGGTCTCCTTTAAGCCAAAACATTCTGTGATTCCACAATTCTATGTTTAGAATAAATTCTCACCACCAAGAAAAAAAAAACTTTGGGGAAAAATATGCAAAGCCAGTCAAGCTACTGGGCTTTGCTCAGAGAATGTCCCTAGACAACAGGACAAGTGACAAAGGGACACGACTGAGCTGCCATGTGTGACATTAATGCATTTTAAGTCACTTTGGAGTCAAAGAGACTGAGTAAGAGCTGAAACCTCTGCCAGAATTCGGGGCTGCTGTTGCCCCACTGGCAGAGCTGACCTAGAAACCAAGTGGCTCTGCCCAGCATGGGGGTGGGGGGCTCTGATGGTGCTGAAGAGTCAAGAGCCAGAGCCTGAGCCAGGCAAAGAGGCTCTGGCAGTGACCCCCAGCACGGAGGGGATGGGGACCAGGGGGATGCACTCGACCAAAACACACCTGAGGGTGCAGCGACATGCCCCATGTCCCCTGATCAGTGTGATCAATAAAAGAGCAGCTCCAAATCCATTAATTACATTTAATCCCTGATGATCTGTTAGGCTTCATCCCTGACTTGCTCTGTCCATGCTCACCTTCAGTTGGGAAGCAGCTCTGGAGGGAAGGTCCCAATGGGGAGCAGGGCTGGGGACACAGGTGGCACAGGGGTAGGTCTGTCACTGCCAGGGCTCCCACCATGAGCCCCGTGGTGGGAGTCACCCACGCTACCTGGGCACACACTGCTCCAGCCTTGTCCCCAGTGCCCAGGCTGGGGGTGGCCCCAGCCCCTCCCCTCTGCCTCACAGAAAGCACAGGGTAATCCCAGCCTGGCAAGACCTCAGGCTGGATCCTGCCCACAGCGGGGTAAATCCACCATT